GATGGACAGCACACAATGCTTATATCATCCAGATAGTACACCACTTCAGATAGCCCACGTCGGCCGACTGCCTGCCCCGGTATATCACTTTTAAACTCGGTACCGGGGGTGGGTAGACAATGGGCATCAGCAGACGGCCTGCATAGCCGCGCGTAGCTAAGCCAGGTTCATTGGCTTAATATATGGGTATGGGTCATCTCAAGAAACCCAGATATCGAGCGGCTAGCAGACCGCTCGCCTGTCCTGGCGCGTGCCATGAGGCCAGTTGGAATCCACATCGGGCCCGAGCATCACGGTCCCTCGTGGCGGGACCCTGAGAGCGGCTCGGGTCCGAGTGCTTGGCGGAGTCCCCGATAAACGCAGCAGCTCCTCCTCAAACGGGTAAAAACAACGAAAGGAGGGAAACCGAAAAACCATCGTGGGGAGACGTGACTGGGCCACCTCATCGTCATCCAGAACCTAGATTTGGCCCGTTGACGCCTATGCGGGAGGGCATGCAGTTCAGGCCAATGAAAGGGACGCGATTTTCCCAGGCCTTGGAGGCTTGGACCGCCCTACGAGGAACGCGATGTGACATCAAAGGCGAGTTCTTGCTCTGCCGCTTAATTACTGATGGGGGAACCGTCCCGCTGGGTGTGTTCTTGGGCAGTTCTAGACATGGACATTGCATCGGTGGTGGTGATGCACCCGAAAATTGAGCCCCCAAAGGCTTGGCGGCAGCCCTGCAATTGATGATCATCGCGACCGAGACAAGGGCGGAAACAGGCCGTTGTGGAGACGGAATGAATGAGTTGCAGGGCCTAGCGCGAGATATCGCCATGTTGGGCAATTGCTTGTGGGAACGAGGTTGAGACCAGGCAATTAATTGTATTATAGTTTTATCTAGCACTTGCTTGTGTCCATAGATCAACGATTTGACCATCTAGTAGCGCGTCATGGCCAATTTGACGCCCTTGTTGGATTTGCCAGTTACCGCAACCTGACACAACCTCCAATCGGACGCTAATGATGGGTCAAAAATAAACGCCGCCTACTAGAGCCAGGCTAACTTTCTCCGCGCGGGATCCCCTAAGACTTCACCATCCGAGCATCGATCCCACGGGTTCGACGGTGCCCGAGCTCTATCCAGCCGCGGAATGCCACTATCATCCAGGATTTGGATACCATCCCGAGCCTTGAAATGGGCAGGTGCTGATCTCAATCTGACACGTCCCAGGATCAGGATCATGGCAGGAGCTTTGATACCGGCCGACATCCTGCTGGACGATGAGGTTGAACGCACGCAAGGCAGGCGTCGCGTGTGTCCCATGTCCAAGAGGATTAAGCGCTAGACGGATTGCCACGTTTGGCATTGCCTGCGATCGGAGAAATTGACCTTGCCGGCTCTCCATCGGGACGGCCATAAACCTGGAACCATGCCCGTTCCGAGGCCAGGATTCCATCACTCGAATTTCACTCAGATTAAACGGACAACAGCTACTACCTGCCATTTCGCTCCAGAGCTGACGATGCTCGGATATGAGCAAGTTTTCAGGCTGGCCATGCGACGGGAGTTCAGCTGCCTACGAACGATCCCGAACTATGTTTGAGCTTATCGCCGTTCGCTCCAGGTTAGCTGTGCGACGTGGGCTACCAACAGCCATCAGAGTGGTTGGTCACACCTGTAACTCTAAGGTCATGTATTCCTTCATCATCTAGGCTTATGAGGCAGGCTGGAAGACCGAGCACACCACCGGTCACCAGCTGTAACGCTCGCAACGCTCGCATCGCTGCCCGAAGAGCCTCACCGGAGATCTAGCGTCGGCAAGTGTTTCATATACTCATCTTCCCCAGATTTCCAAATATGGACTTGCGATAACGGCCCAGCTGTTTGGACCTGTGCTAGCCCATCAATGGCGATGTTGGGTTAGGTGGCCGTTGTTCGACCGCCGGGGAAGTCCACGCGCGCGGTGGGTTTCTTCTTCGGAAGCTCCAAAGAAACGGCCGGTTCAAGCTAGATTACGCACCGGACGAGGACAGGCCATGGTCCCGCTGGCCGATGCTCGCGAAACCGAATAAGCGAGGAAAATAGTCACTCACGGCAATGGTTATTGAGGGTGTCGTGCAATACGAGATGCTGAGCTGGTTCGGTAGTGGGCGATTCCACCTCAGCCAACGTCCCGCTTACTGGCCGACTTCTTGGTAAAAAGGCTCAAAGTGCTCAGTTCTAAAGCGTGGTCAGCATTTAGGTTCTTACCTCGTCGCACAGCGTGGTATGCTTATTACGCCTGGCTAGGTATCGCTGCCTTGGATGGCAGAGTACCACCAGACTTCAGGGTAGCAGCTGAGTGTATGGCATGATGATGGACAGTGAGTGGCGGGGAGAAGGACTTGTGTGGTGCTACACACTGCATCCCATCACCTGTCGACGACCATGCGGTAAAATCATTTGCCCAATGGCAGCAAGGAGAACCCAGGGCCGTCTGCCGGCTGCAGCCATGAAGTCAGCATGTATTACGGTCATCTTTAGCGAAGTGCGGCTCTCCGCGCATCGCGAGGACCCCATCAAGCGACTGGAGCCATGCATCATGACCAGCTCATGTATGCGCATGTTCCCGGTCAAGGATACAACTCGTGAGCATCATCTTGTTGGCTTGGCGATGGCGCCTTGCATGTCGTGGCAGGGTGCGTCTTGGTCTCGATCGATGCCCTCCGAATTACGCCCTTGTGTAGAAGTCCAGAGGGAGGGGAGCTATGAAGACTTGGAGAGCGAAGAAAAAAAGCAAATTCTTTTCTACTCGATTCGATTGGTTCGACAATCGGCTCCTGCGTCCCGGATTGACTGCCCCGGTGGGCAGAGACCAAGCAGAGTCGAAGGTTGAAAGACGAGAGGGTGTGGATATCCCGTATTGTTCAAGTCGATGATGAAGGGTAAATCAGGTCCAGTTGGGCTGGGCGCATGTTTCCTGCATCCTTAGTCACCGGATTAGGGACCCAGCACCCGATCTCAGCTTCCGGTCTGCCTCGTATTCAAGCATGCAGAGGCATGCCTTCTGCATGTTCTAGCTTGCCAACGCATGTGTATATGTAAGTTGACGACATGGGTTGCGGTGATTGCCTTGTCTGGTTTCTGTCGGCCCAGCCCTTTCATTACCACTCCGCCAGCCTTTTCGCAGGTGAATCAAGAATACGCCGAATGCGATGCAATGGCACTGTGAAGCGAGCTGGCTGAGGGGAGCTCTCCCTTGCTAGTGCACTTGCACATGCCGAGTTCTCCTCTACATCCTATTCTGAGGGGTGCATTTTGAGTTTGATCGCTCTGTTTCCCCCATTGGGCGCTTCAACGTATGGTATCCCAGCTCGCTCTCTAGCACGAGAAAGGCGTTGAGGCTAGCCTTAAGCATAATGCAGCGAGGTCTCTGTCCTTTCTGTGGACTGGGAATCCCTGCCTGCCACTGGGACCGTTACCAACAGTTCTTTGTTTTCGTTCGTTTTCCCCCACTTCCAGGACAGGGGTGGGAGAGAAAGTTCTCAATTCAACACCGATGCATCCGCCTTTCTCATCAATCCAGAGTGGATAAATACTACCTCATCCAAATCCTGACGAAAGGGCAGCAAGGCAGCCAAGAGTAACGATTCTCATAGGTAGGGGGTTGGGGTAGAGATGTAAGTTTTCTTGGCTGGGAGGTAAACGAAGCGAGCGTGGCTTCAACCACTGATCGTGATCATTCTCCAACCTTCTCCTCATTCGCTGATGTTGGGCAGGTTTCTGGAGGAACGGGATGGAGGAGAGGGGCATGTGCGAAAAGGCCAGGGCTGGTAAATAAGTGGCTGCACTGTAACGTACCACTACCACCACAAAGATCCAAATCTTCTGCATGTCTTATCAACTCGTCACTCCATTAACCAGTGCCTGGGGAGATTTTTCTCTTGCACATTCACTCCCCTGCATATTCCACCCCCCTTAGAGGCCAATATTGCCCTGATGGATGTATGCTCTACTGCAAGGCAAAAGTAAGCGGCCCTGCGAAAAGGGTCGCCTGGGAGGCCGGGACACACACACACGAAGCTCTTGCATGACGGAAGAAGAACTGTAAAGGGGCAAGGGTGGCCGATCACCTATCAGGCAGCGCCAGCATTTCAGAATGCGAGGGAACGCAGTTGGAATCAAGGATTTGAGCTGACTGCAGGCCTCGCCTATGGTCTTTGTGAAGACCACCAATGGCTCAATCTTGGCAATGAGAAATAGGAAGATCTCAATTATATCGACGGATCGTGCTACCATACTGGACTAAAGTTTGAATCAAGAAGCTTTTGAAACAGTTACTCAACGCCCTAAGAAATTTGGGAATGTGGAGCGAGGTTGACGATACTAAGCTCCGATATCAGCCCTCTCTGTGTCTCATATGACACTGTATAAGCGAAGAGGATGCAAATTGCCATGAGCCAGTGGGCCTGTGTGGTGGGTGTGTGATGGAGGGGTGTTTGCCATTGATCTGTGATGGAGATCAACTAACAACAACACCAGCCCAATTGATGGACCGGCACTCTGCCCGTGACGATGATAGCACAAAAGGGCATGGCCTGGGGCCTTGGATGAGGTAGGGTTGGGCAGGGCGAGGCAGGGCAGGGGTGTATACTACTACATCTTGGCTCGGCAAAGGCATGGCCGCTTGAGCTCTTGGCTGGACTGGCCGCCAATCACCGACCGATCCTCCGTTCGATTGGGACGCCAGTCTTATTGGTAGCAACCTCGTATTAGATTTCGAGCATGGAGAGAACCGGTCGGCACATGGTATAAGATCTGATGGCTCCGGATCGCTGGGTGCTTCCCGCTCTCCTGAGACGGTTCACGTTTTACTCGTCTCTTTTGAGTACAAATCTGCTGGCATTCTATACACAGTCGTTATCCACTACCCGGACTCTCGCTTAGACGCTCGTTCCTAGCTGTCACTTAGATCCATTCGCTAGCCCTAAAATCTGGGGTGTTTCAGCCATCCCGCTGGTGACGTTCGTTGACAATGAAGAGCCTCATCTTCATAGGCGCTATGGCCCTTGGCCTAGCATCTGGCCATGAATATCCCGACTGTGAGCACGACAACTGCTACAGGAATCTCATTGACACGCGTTTCAATGGCGAAGGTTTCTGTTTCGAGTTTCTTTCGGGCACTACCACTGCCCCTTCTGCTATCCCCACGGATTTCAGTAATTGCCAGGGCGATGTGACCAGGGTTTCCTCCGCTTGTTCTTGCATCACTTACACGGCAACACACACGAGCGTGCCTCCCACGTCTACCCCTTCTACTGAGACCGTTCCAAGCACGGAATCGACTACTCCATCATATACCAAACCAACCCACACCAAGCCAACTCACACTAAGCCTACGGAGACTGAGACTACCCCTTCATATACCAAGCCTACTCACACGAAGCCGACTCACACTAAACCTACACACACCAAGCCTACGGAGACGGAGACTACTCCCTCCTACACTAAACCAACTCACACTAAACCAACCCACACCAAACCAACTCACACCAAGCCTACGGAGACGGAGACTACTCCCTCCTACACCAAGCCAACTCATACCAAGCCTACCCATACCAAGCCTACACACACCAAGCCTACTGAGACTGAAACCACCACTCCTTCTCACACTCACACAAAACCAACCCATACTAAACCAACTCATACCAAGCCTACCCACACCAAGCCTACACACACCAAGCCCACAGAGACCGAGACTACTACTCCCTCTCACACCAAACCTACGCACACTAAACCAACCCACACAAAGCCAACTCACACCAAGCCAACCCACACAAAGCCTACTCACACTCAGCCTACAAACACTCCCCCAACTCATACGAAGCCTACGCATACCAAGCCTACGCACACCAAGCCAACGGAAACCCAGCCTACAGAGACCCAACCCACAGAGACCAAGCCCTCGCACACCAAACCTACTCACACCAAGCCTACACACACCAAGCCAACGGAGACTCAACCTACAGAGACCAAGCCTACAGAGACTCAACCTACGGAGACCAAACCCTCGCACACCAAGCCTACACATACCAAGCCCACACATACCAAGCCATCTCACCCACCACCTCCTCCTACTACCACAGAGTGGACAACCTCAACTATTTACACAACCACTTGTATCACCATCACTACCTGCCCTCCTGAGGTACCAAACTGCCCTGGTACCACGACCACCATCACTACCACAATTCCCGTGACCACGACGGTGTGCCCTGTCACTAGCCAGCCTGCGACCACCATTGTGGAGAGCTCCCACAAGGCTCCAGTTCCATCTTCTGCCCCGCCTGTTGTTGTGAGCTCAACCTTTGTGACGATTCCAGTCACCAAGTCGGAGAAGTTTGAGGCACCAGCTCCTTCAAGCTCGGCACAGCCAACACAGCCCACGCAGCCGGCCCAGACAACGCAGCCGGCCCAAACAACACAGCCTGCCGTACCCGCCGGGGCTAGTCAAGTTAGCGCCGCGGTCCAGATTGCCTTCATTGCCGCTGGTCTGGTAGCTCTCATGTAAGAGGTCGTGAGGGCTTCGACGAGTTAGATTAACGCTACGGACAGCACCTCATAACAAGAAAAGAAAGGAAAAGAGAGAGAAACAAACCAACGACGTCAGGGATGGCCTGACGCATGAAGATGCATGACTGCAACGTCATACAACGATCCTTTACATAATTTTTAGTCGATTTTTCCCCTGGCATACCCTTTTTAAGATATGATTGATGATAGCATTTTCTTCTTCAGACACCGGTGTCTCTCTTGCTGATGGAATCCAACGGACTGTGGAAGTGGGGAAAGTTAGGTTAGCTGTTGGGTTTGGTCATGCTTCAAGGCTGGAATATAGCATGTATGAAGGTCTTGTGGAGGACACAATATTAGTAATATAGGATTTTATCAGACTCCCTTGCTCATACCACCTACCTAGCTGAATGGCCTGCCTGTGTTTATGACTGAGAAAGATGGAAGCATTTGTGGTAAAATCGATGTCTCGAGCCCCTGTCTAGTGACTCGAGTCCGAGCAGCGGACGGACTTTGCCAGCGTTTAGGTGTGCCACATGTGGCGGGACGCCACACTAGTGAGGGAAGCACGCCACAACTCAGGTATTCTTAGTTGTGGCTGGGGCCAATCATATACCAGATCTATCAGAGATGGTGTGGCGTGGGCTGTGGCGTAGGCTGACCAGTGAGCCACACCATGAGCTGGGAAAGCCCTTTTTATCTCGTTTGGGCGCCTTGTGCAGGCTGTGCTGCTGCCTTACCGTCGGAAATGCACGAAGCCCCCCCGATCCCCTCCAGTTTCTACATTTCTCACCCGGGATCGGTTCCACCCGCTGAGTAGATGGGCCAATGCTTTTGGCTAGCGCTGCGGATCGAGACGGCTCGCTGTCAAACACCACAGATGTGGTGTTGCCCCCTCCATCTATTCATGCCGTGGCACGATGGCAGCGTTTTGGGCGCGGTGACCCTCGCTACCCAAGCCTGCAGCTCGGAAATCTCCCATGGGCCCCCTTCGTCGCACTTGAAACATACAGGTGGCTCGGTCGCTCTCTAGGACAGCGAGGGCCAATCTTTCTTGCAAAAGCGCCTGGAGAGCTACAAAGCCCGCAGTTGGAGTGACCAGGCTGACCAGGCTGGCAACCTAGATGGCGGCTCGTTGCAGCAATCAGGATGCGATCCGCACCTCCCACTCGATGATCAGCCAGTGGAGTCCAGGACTCTGGTTGTTCAATGCAGGAGCCGGCGCAGTAGCTCCCCGCCACTGAATACTGGGGCCGGGTCTTGGGTTCGTCAGGAAAGGAAATACCACCACCCTTGGCCCATACTCGCGATCGTGAGTAGGGCCTGGCTGACGGACCAGGGGCGCAGTCCCAAGAGCCAGAAAACCGACTGCTCGTATCGGATGCTCCGCGATCAGGATAACAAATAGACAATCCTTGGAGTTGTTCAGCTGGGCCGTGGCCGTGGCAGGGCTTGCTTGGCTTGTCCGGGCCCTTAGTGAAGACTCGAAATCTCCGGTTGTACGCAGGGATCTAGTGTAAGAAAGGCCCCCAAATGCGATTGCCGTACATGGCATACTATTATCAGCCTTGCGGTCGTCCCGTGCCTCTGCCCATTCTTTTAAGCGCCATCATCGCCCACTATGGCCGCTGTGGCTAGTACTCCCCGCGATTGGCATATACCGGGATTGTTGCCATTATCCTTTTCACACTTTAACAACGACCCATCACCACTTTTTCGTCCTGGCTGGCTCTGTGAGGTCGGCTTCGACAAGCAAAAGCCATGATGAATCAGGCTTCGCTGTCGCGGCTAGAGATTCCAAAATCATCTTGCTCCCCGCCATCGGGTTCTCACCTGGTGTCAGGACGCCCGGCGCTATGGACACTCTCTAGTCAGCGAAAGATGTGCAGACTCTACCTATACACCACTCTCAAGATCAACGAAATACTCGCTGTCGTTTATCATACCCAGAACGTGGAAAACTCCCCAGGGTACGCCGCACCCATGACCTATACGTGGATGAAGACTAACTTGGAGTGTAAAGCAAAGACTCGGCTCAGAAGAAGCTCAAAGAGCTTCTTGACAAGGAATACCGATGGCTTAAGCCAGCTGACGAGAACGACATGTCCAGACGATACGCTCAACTACTCCAGTCGCCAACCAGATCAAACCCTCAGATTAGCTCGATCATGACCCGCCCAAGCTCTCGTTCAGATCCTCCTCCGTATTCGAGCAATTCTTCACCCGCGCCCATCAAGTCCGAGAGGGAGGTCCACTCTGCAACTCTTGAGAACATGCCTGAATACTCCTGGAGCCACAGCAGTACACCAAACCTGGCGTTGGGTTCACCTTCAGCAAACTTATCTGTTCCTGGAGCGGGTGAGCAGTATGCCGGTAGCTCACGCCGCCGATCCTCGGCCAGCCCAGGGACGAACCTTCATCCAGCCATGTACCTAGAGAGGCAGGGATCGGTGATGTCTACATCTACTAACCAAACTACAGGCTCGTTCAACCGACTGCTTCCTGACTACTCTGAATCTTATGTCGACTCTGTCCGAAAGCTTGTAAAAAGATACACTGCGCCTCTTGGGTCGTCGACGTTGGAGCGGATGGTACCTCAGTCGACTGTGTGGTATAATGACGTTGATGCACCATCTTGTCAACCCGGTCGGCCATTTCCACTTCCGGGGGATTTCCTCACTCTTGACGTCCACCTCCAGCAGCAGGGGCCTTGCTTCCCGCAATCCGAAGAGCACAACTACCGATGGTGCCTATGCCACGTTCTCGCGGAGATTCCAGAGCAGTCTTGGGTCATGTCTCAAGGTCCCACCCCGTTCGCACATCAGTTGCTGACTGCTGGGTTACCGCCTTCCCAGGCAGGGTACCGGGACGCCTATGGAAACACTGCCTTGCACTTTCTTGCCGCGAGAGGATTTCTCGATCCTTTGCTTAATGCTCTCAATGCTCAACCCATGTCAGCTGTGGCCAACGCCAAGAATAGCGTTGGGCAGACCTTTGTCCATGTTCTCCCTCCATCACTGCTGGGGGACTTGGACGCAACCTGCCGACTGCTGGACTTTCTCCTTAACAAAGTGTTTCCTGATGGCCAGAGGTTCAATATTGGCGCTCGTGATGACTATGGCCGGACCATTTTCCACCTGCTGTTATCCCTGGACCTCTCGCGAAACGCGTTACAGTTTCTTTTGCAGCGGTACGGCGGAGTGTTCCATGCCCCGAGAGACGCATTCAACTTGATGCTCGTCGGCCAGGAACCCATTCCTTATGACCCTTCGCACCATGCAACATCCCAACGCTCGAGCCCAGAGTCGTCCGATTCTGAGAGAGAGATATCCCCTGGTGCTGAGCCTTATTACAAGGAAGCCCGTCTTTTAGAACTGGCTCGGAACGCTTTGGACAAGCCGAAGAAGGAAGACTCGGAAGGTCGAAATGGGCTCCATTGTCTTGCGATGGCATCGCTCAGCAAGGCCACCGCCGTCAACAAAGCTGAGCAGAGCAACCGAAACTCCCCACCACGTCTGAGGAGAAGGGTCCAAACAGTACATGGGATTATTGATTCGTCAATTGACCGACTCAATTTCCGACATAAACTAGTGGCAGAGCTGCTGAGCAGCGGTGTCGATCCGAACCATTACGATAGCAACGGGAACACGCCACTTATGGCATTCACTGCTGAATTGCCCGAAGACGATGATTACAAAACCGGACCCATGATACTGGACCTGCTCTTGAAAAATGGCGCGGACGTGAATGCCCGAAACAGGGGTGGAGAGACCGCGCTGCATATCGCTGTGCGATGTGGACGGAAGCTTGCAGCAAGGGCTTTGATCGAACACGGAGCTAATGTGCACGCCCGGGATGCTGCGGGAAGGAGCGTTCTCATGGTTGCTGACGAAAAGATGAAGAGCGCTCGGGAGGATGACGCCAAGGAGTATGCGCACTTGGAAGCCTGCCGTGCCTATTTGAGCGGCAAGGCAGGGGCTGTGCAGGAACCAACCGTGCTCCAGGAATGGGGATCCCGGTCGATGTGATAGAACTATCTCTAACAGTAGACTAGATGTTTTGACTTTATGTTAAGTACTATACCTGAATTTTTTGGTTTTGTTTTGCGGTTTAACTGGCTGGGGCGTTTTTAGCATTGCTGGGAGCTTTGATTTTCAGGATCGGGAGACTGGGATGATTTTGCTTTGTCGGTCTCTACTGCTCAAGGGAGGCTGTAAAAGTTTGATCTTTTCATGTTTGGCGTCTTGGAGTTCTCTCCCAGGCTACGGAATATACGGAACATAGCTTGGATTCACTGACACTTGGGACTTGATTTTGGATTTGAGAGGGAATCCTGCATACATATTTTTTTCATTGAACAGCAGAAATGGTCAAACGAAATAATGGGAAAAAGATAAGCCGTTGAGTCTCATATGACTGCGCCTAGAAAAAATCCAAGAAAGAGGGAAAATTCCATGCTTGCAGTGGTTCATTTGTCTTCCCACCCTGATCTGTCTTCTCAGACTCTGGCACTCCTCCCCCATAATTTCCGGCTTCGGGTGATCTGCCAGCCTCCAAAAGTAAGTAGGCAAGGTAAAAAATGAACATGACGATGATTGTGGTGCAAAAGCCAGAAATGAAGAAGAGGATAAATTCACCAACGCTAAGGCCGGCACCTCTTGCCAGTAGCCTGTCTGGCGGCAGGGATTCAAAATCCATTGAAACGGGAGGCATGGTGAGAGGATCGGTAGGTTGCCTGCGTTTCTTCTGTAACATGTCCTCAGCAAACTTGGAGATAGCGCGGGTTCTGGGTGGCAGATTCCTCGACGAAGCTGCTAGCCACAACGACAAGAATGATGAAAGCAACGGCAGAAAGAATGGCGATGACCAAGGCATATGTTTCTACCTCGGATAGACCTTGAGCAGTTATCGTGATCACCTGGAGAAAATCTTCAGAGGTCGGGATGGGGGTCATTGATGGGATTGCTTCTTGGCTGCGTTTCCCTTTGTATATGTCTGGAGCAACTCGAGATTTCAGGCCTTAACTTCTAGGTTCCTGGGCCAAGTAATGTCAGTACAAATAACCGAAACAGAGAATCAGGATACCAAAACCCACAACGGCGGCGAATTTTACGCCGAGTTCTTCCAATCCGGATCACTCTGGAGTGTGCAGTGTGGTTGCCTGCGGTGGGATGGGGGAGGAGGAGTCAGGTTCAATTCGTCGAGATGGTCGCTTGGTTGCTTTCCCCTTCTACAGGCCTGGAACAGCCCGACGCAGTGTCGTTTCTCGCCGTTTCTTTCTTCGAATACCTTTGGTTCAGCCACCTAAGCAAGGACGCGAGCCACCTGGGCAAGGGCGTGCACCCAGAGCATAAAGCTATGAGATATACAATCCCGGCAGCAAGGTACACAATCACGTAGACGATTGAGAAAACGCTCGTCCTCCGATTTTCGGGCGGATCTCGAATCAGCAGCGTGGTCGCCTGTACAAATTCGCAAGAGCTGGGGACAGGAGACATCGGTAGACCCGTTGCTTTTCTGGATCTTGGCTCTTGAGAGTGGAGGCGAATCGTGCAGAAGCCGAAATATGCGAGATTCGGGCCTCTATATACTGAGAGACGAAAGCGAGTCTCAGATCTTTTCCAAGGGTTTATGCTTCTAGCAAAGAATACACAGACTGTTCGTTCCTGACACAATGGGTGCCTCCGTGGCGGCGTAGTGATTATGTGCGCGGGGTGAAATGAATGTGCACTGGACAAAGCTCCGGAGTTCTGGAATTGGTGCGGGCTGAAATAGGGGAGTTTTAATTGAGACAGTGCCTTCCAAGTCATTGATCGAGTGCTGAGGTCAGTGCCATAATTGCGTGTAACACACACACAATTAATTGGCTGTTCCGTTCCTGCAGGCGCAGTTACTTCAGCGCGTGCGTGTGTGACCGACTGACTAACCGTGCTGCCTCCTCCCGCCATCTCAGAAACCTGCTCTCGTTCTTCCCTCCATCGCCGGGCGCACAAAACAAAAACGAAAACAGACAGCTATATTCGCGAGCACAAAGACCATTTTCGCCGCGTCTAGTCACTGCGCCGACACCAGACTACGCAGCTCTGCTTGGTCCTGCTGCCTCGCCATTCACGCTGGTCCGTCTTCACCGCGTGCCGGCCTGTTCTCGTGTCTTTATTTGTGCCACAAACAAACCGGACAGCCGCTTAATCCTCATTCACCACTTCATTATCCATCCTTCGTTCCATTCAAATGCATCGCCAACGGGTAGCATTATTCCTTGCTTGATCGATCGCCTGAAGCCTGAAGCCATCCTAGCTAGAGCTAGGATGGGCCAGTGGAGCGGAAAGCAAGCGACCGTTGAGAAAGAGGCCGTTTCCTATCAATATCGAGATGACGAGTGACTTTAGATTCAGTATTCCCGATATTCTTCGGACTTTTACCATGTTTCCATCGCTACCAGCAGAGATTCGGCAAGAAATATGGCACAGCGTCATTTCCGAGCCCGGGATCCATTTTGTCAAGTTCGGGGACGAGGACTCCAAGTTAACCTGGGTATCAAGGCCATCCCAAAGGCTTGAATCGGCTGTAGAGGGATGGCATTATCAAGCACTCGTCAAACAACGTGCTCGGAGAGAAAGACGCGAGGGTAGTCTGAAACGGATTCCAGATGCCAGATTGACTCCACTCGAGTCAAACCACAGAGCAGACATTTCACATTACAAGGCACTGCGAGAGGAGCTGGCAAAGATATCCGCCGTATGCAAAGAGTCGGCGTCATTCGTGTCCAGCCTCCTTTCCAGGCCCGGCACTCTAACGTTTGAGAGTGGTGGTCTTCTCTCATTGCAGGACTCCCAGGATGTGGTTTACGTTGAATATTTCCCCATGGGGATTTATCAGACGGGTTGCGCGCTGGCAGTCGACCCATTTCGCCCAGAGCTTGAGAAGATCCGCCGCGTTGCCGTGCGGTTTTGTCATCAATGGCAGCATGATGAGTTGCCGGTTCGTTGCGCATTCTGTCGACAAGTTCACACGTCTGGTACGAGAAAGTCATACCCTACACATCTGTATCAATTTCTCGCACGGTGTTTCCCGAACCTCGAGCAGGTCTGGCTCATCGATTACTTCCTTCGTCCAATGGCTGTGGGGAACAGCGATTCTAGCGTACCGAAGAAAGATAATGACGCCGCAAAGGGTCCTGTTGAGAGAAATCTTCACAAGTTTCTGTGCCACGGCAGAATCTACCACGAAGCCACCCCAGGCTTATGGAATGTCAAGGCTGATTCGATGGAGTTGAAGACATGGCTTCAGGAGCGCTTTGTCAGGTACGCCAAAAACAGCAGCCACAGCCGCGTCAATGGCCCAGAAAAGGTCAAGTTTGGCTTTCTTGCGTGTGACTGGCAGTATCAGTATACCTCGCCTCCAGTAACTGCGGAAAGAAAAATATCCAAGTGCTCGAGTCGATATAAGCGACCCGCCAGTTTACTCAAGCGATTTCCTCCTAAGGCCTATAACCGGATGGAAGACTTGCGGTACAGTGGGGATGCAAGCAAGGTGCAGACAGACATCCCATTTGTATTTGGTCAAGGACGCTATCACGAGTTTAACCCGGAACTGAGGCTCTGACTCTCACTCTCTTGGCTCCTTTCTCCCTTTGTTGTGCTCCTGCCTCTGCTTCATCTCACGAATGTTGGGGAAAATACTCTTGGTTGCATGAATAGCAATAGAATGAATATGAACTGGGTGCGATACGATGAAAACGAGACCTTGCGCATCTCTACTTACCCCTATGAACCAAAAAGAACCTAATCGAATAGATTATCCTACATTTTTATATCCCATATAGTTTCCAATGGACTAAAAGATGGTAAATTCTGTGGATCGATCATATCTATGTACATCCCATGCATACCTGCCCAGTACCTAATAGCCGGAAAAGCTAGAACGGTAACATCGGATCATGCATGAACTTCCTCTCACCTCTGTTGATTCCATGTCGCCTGGAGGGGGAGGGCGTGGAAGAAGCCACACGTAGCATTGCGCGGCCAACGCATACCTGCAAGCAACCCTCCGCCACACATGCTAGATGCAGGTTGGTTGCATTCGTGAAACCCACCATCTCGTTCGACGTATGAGAACTGGTCACTTGGAAGTATCACCACCTTGGGTGCAAAGAACATTCGCAGAGTGCTTTGATAATCATTTATCTCTGTTCTAGATCTACCCCTAGTTTTCAATTGGATAAATACGCTGAGAGAGACAAGTATACCTAAATTCATTGTACGCATTGTGCCCGTTAGCGTCCAATCCTTGCACATTGAGCCAAGAGGCCTTGGAAACAACGAGGTATAGGGTACCTACGTAGTACTTGGTGGTACAGGCACTGAGCCCAACAGGCCATTGACTTCGGGACCTGGAACTCAATCGTGCACCTTCCGTCTTCTGTAATCTCAAGTTCCGATAGACACTCATCCATCATGAGAAGCCGAACGAATCTTCTATTACTGATTCTAGGACATTCTGCATATCCCAAACTTGTACACCAACATTGATTCACGAATCTGTTCCAACAAGGCTCTCGACTTTCAGGATGGAGGTCTTCCTGGCAAGGCTGCCCCCCATCGATGAAGACCAACTCAGGAAGGAGCTGAAGCCACATTTGGAGGCCCTGAGCATTTCTGAATACTACTGTTCCAAGCCCCGAGGAAAGGATATTGCTTGGGTCAGGTTTGTCGACGCCTCCGATGGATCTAGATTTCTCCAGAGACACGGCGAATTGCTACCGAGTGACGGCCGTAGCGCCTTCCTCAGAGCCTCCTCACGTAGGCTCCTCATTGCAAATTCCCTAGTGGTCGCTAAGGAAAGCAATCGTCAGCTTGACGAAAAGTTCCTGGATCATCTCAAGCTGGAGCAGAAGCGGAGAGCCGAAAAGGCTCAGAAAGCTGACAGGAAAAACCAGCCAGCCGCTGCTTCTTCATCATTTACCGTTTCCTCTGTAGCCTGCGGCAAGAACATTTTCGTCCAAAAGGACAGCCAACTTTCATTCGTGTCGCAGACCTCGACATCCACCTCGTGCTGCGCGAAGATCACTCGCCGCGCATTGATTGTTGGTTCAGATGCTGACGGGTTCCGAATCGACATCCCGTACAACATCATTCAAGACTTTATCGTCGCCTGGCAATGCCAGAAAATTACACTGGTATTGACTGAAGCCCCCAGGTTCTATGAAATCGTCAAAAGCCAGACAGTTGATGCGAATTATGAACTAATGGAAAAGCGAGGATGGGCGAGAGAAACGCATTTTGCCAAATTGCCGGGCCATACGAGATGCGTCCCGCAATGTTTGGTATACCAATTCCAGGTCGCTGACCAAGACTTTGAGCAACTTGTCCGGCGCTGGACAAATCAAAAGTATGTATCAATCACAAGATATGATCTTCTCGCAGAGCCGTATACAGGGATCCCCGATGATTTTTACGCAAGTTGGATGAAGGTATTCGAGAGCGAGCTCAAAGATCCCACGAGACACAGAGGGTTGCCGTTTCCATTCTTGTTCCAGGTTCAGGGGCTCGTTTGGAACAATTACCTCCATCCCTCGGATGGACATCGGATGTTGGAGGGAATGGCTGGAGCTATTCGAGTTTGTCGTGCAAAGGGGGCTGGCCTGCCTTTCAGTGTCGAATCAATGAAGAGGCTGCGCCAGCGGATTCCATACCCTTGCCCTGGAGTTGAGCCAGGGCAGCTCGATGTATCCGAGCTTTTGGAGATCATCCTTAATAAGGAAATAATACCTAGCAAAGGTGGCACACCGCAGAGTGAGTGTTATAGAACAACCCTACCCTCCCATCAAGCTTGGGTGATGAGGGCCATCGTCACCCCTACCCGGATTCTACTCGACGGACCAGACCCCGAGAGCAAAAATCAGATACTAAGGAAGTATTCCCATTACGCAGACTATTTCCTTAGATGCAGCTTTTGTGATGAAGATGGCCAAGATTTAGCATTCAACCCTAACGTGTTGAACGATCGTATATATGACCGATACAAAGAGGTGATGAGGGCAGGCATCCAAATTGCAGATCGAAGGTATATGTTTCTGGGATTTTCGCACTCGTCACTGCGAGCCCATTCTGTCTGGTTCATGGCGCCATTTATGGATGATAAATGGGGGTTACAAAGCTGTAGCTCTGTCATCAGAGGGCTCGGCGATTTTGACGCTATCAGAGTGCCCGCGAAATGTGCAGCGCGGATTGGCCAGGCATTCTCAGAAACACCATTCTCCGTGCCTGTTTCCTCACTTGGGATCGGCTCACGTTCTATCCCTGATGTAAAGTCGAAGGATGGGTCTCGAGTGTTCAGCGATGGTGTAGGGACCATTTCAGCCGAAGCCATGGAGCTGTTCTGGGAGTATCTCCCACCCCAATTGAAAACCACGGCCCCTACTTGTTTCCAGATTCGCTGGGCAGGGGCCAAAGGAATGATAGCGCTGGATTCTAGTTTGAAGGGAAAGGTTTTTTGTATCCGAAACGAGTCGATGAGAAAGTTTATCAGCAGCGATGTTGCCGAAATGGGTATCTGCGACACATCGTCGCGACCACTTCGTCTCTGGCTTAACCGTCCGATGATCAAGATACTGGAAGATATGGGCACTAACCCTGAGTGGTTCTTGGAATTGCAGAAAAAGGAGCTCGAGAACTTGCGGGCTGTCACTGTCGACATAGCCAAGACGAGCGTCTTCTTGCGGCAGCAATCCATAGCGACACCGATGGGATTTCCAAGTTTCCTGAAACATCTTGATGGAATTGATATTGATTATCGAGACGACGATTTTATGAGGGCTGTGGTGGAAAATACGGTCTTGAGAGAACTTCGCTCACTCAGGCACAAAGCACGTATTCCCGTTAACAAAGGCGTTACTCTTTTCGGCATTATGGACGAGACGGGTTTTTTGAAAGAGAACGAAGTATACATCACATTCGACAAGAGCCAGGAGAAAATATCCCGGCTTCCAAGGGAAGGACCGGTTCTGGTGACTCGCTCACCAGCATTGCACCCGGGTGATATCCAACTTGTGCAGCTGGCTCGCCCACCCAAGGATAGCCCTCTCTGGGACTTGCAGAACTGTATAGTCTTCAGCCAACATGGCGAAAGAGACGTTCCAAGCAAACTCAGTGGCGGTGATCTGGATGGCGACATATACAACGTTATATGGGACTCTGAGGCGATGCCCAAGAAGCCATTTGATCCGGCGGACTACCCCAGGGTGACTGCTCCAACTCTCGACCGACCGGTGACGAGCAGGGATATAATCGACTTCTTCATCAATTTCATGAAGACGGATATTCTGGGATTGATTGCGACTAGACACGTCACGATGGCAGATTACAACACCGAGGGTACGCTGAGCTCTGAATGTCTCGATCTAGCAGAGCTGCACTCTACAGCGGTCGACTCCTCCAAAACAGGAATACCAGTTGATAACCGCTCCCTTCCCAAAGCGCCTAGATACAGGCCGGATTTTCTATCCCCAGCCACCCCGTTGAAGGTTTATGATATTGGTCAGGTTGAACTCAATGAAGAGGACGATGACGATGGTGATGATGATGGTATGGGGGTAGTCAAGCACCGGTATTACGAATCGAAGAAAATCCTGGGGAGGCTATATCGATCGGTGGATGAAAAGAAGATATGGGCGGAAGATGTAAAACAACACGACAGGGCAGAAGGCGGTGATATCTGGGAGGAACTTCTTAGCATTCCAAAAACGCTTGTGTGGAAGAACAAACTCGACGTCGATTATAAACGGCAAACCGATAAGGCCTGGGAGATCCGCAACATGTATGAATCGTCGGTGAGCGATCTGATGTACCAGTTTTCAGAGAACCCCAGGAGGCCAATCAGTGAGGTCGAGGTGTTTTGCGGCTTCATTCTAGACAGGCACGGGAAGCAGACGCGCCGCCAGAGGGACTTGTCGAGCAAGCTGCGCGAGGAGATAGACCGCACGATGTCGTGGATCGTGAAAATGATGCAGGATCCCGAAGGCGACGAGGGAGAGGATAGCGTGTCGAGGCAAAAGGGTGTCCTCGAGCTGTGCTGGGCTTGTCTGGTTGTCGGATGCGTCGATGACAACGAGAGAATGAACAGCGAGTACACGGTTGGGGGGTTGAGAAGCTTCAGAATACTGGCCGCTGGCTGCGTGTTCAAACAACTAGAACTGTTCTTAAGCATGATCCCGCAAGACGGGAAAGAGCCAGCTACGGGAGGTTTCGTGGGTGTGCGGGGAGGAAGCGGAGGGAAGAAGGTGACCCTGCCACTTCGATGAAGATACCCAAATGTGCGATGTGTATTGTACAGGAACAGAACGTCTGTTTGTCATTTACAAGTGGCCACCATTTGTTTTTAGACACCTTTCTTTAGAGAGCTCGCTTAAATCAGGCCAGGGGCAACTCCTTAGAGACTCGTACAATGATGACTCTTGCTCCCTTATCGACCGAATGACTTGCCACAAGTTCCAAGGTTCCCTTCATGGGTCAAAAACCTTCGAAGACAGCCTCGGGCCAAGCCGTGATGAGCTTGTAGGCGCTTCGATTGTGTAGCCAAAGCAACATTTTAAAGCTTAATGACGGCGATGTCGAGGTGGTTGTCTCGATCAAGACGTCAGGCTGGCTCTTTTGTTGGTGTTTTCGCTGCCATGACTACGATGGACACAACCGAAGGATATTTCATAGGGGGGGAAAGTGTCGGTTTGTTATAGGTACGTTCGAGGGCGCGTCGCTGGGTAGAAGGTCGTTGATGGACATTGTCTGTCAATGATATTTGAAAAGCTGACACCATGATGAAGAACTAAACGGAACAGTGTCAAAGAAAGATAATAGTGTGAAGGAATTCTCGCTGGTTTGGTTTGGGCGTCAATCGCGGAGTAAAAAAGGGGGTTGGTCAGGGGCCATCCGTCGTAGTGCTAGATTTACAGCACCAGATGATGACAAGAACTGGGCTCTGGAACTTCATATTTCGATTTGAGACTTCCAATGGCTGATGACCGATGCAAAAGGGATAGATGTCAAGGGGTTTCGACAAATTGAGGCCGTAGGGGCAGGCAGAGTAGATTCGCCTTCACGGTCTTTCATGGAGGAGTGGTCAAGCCATGATAAGATGGCCATGCAAAGCGGCCGGCGACTAGACGAAGGGGTAGGGCAACGGAGGGAGGTCTGACAGAGTATCCTGCAGTTTGCTAAAGAACGCTGCTCTTTCTTCAAGCGCTGCAGGCGGCGGTGATGGCGGCGGTGGTGTTTGCGTCTGTGTTTGTGCTTGGCCTGGCATGACGATTACGAACGGTATAACTTGATGTTTACGCAACTATAGAATGGAAATGGCTATAGACAACGAGATTTGGCCCTCTACGCTCAGTCTTCTTGGTCTGGGTTGGGAGTCTCTGCCCGATTGCTTTGGACCTCCCCTTCGTCCTGTTGCCTGTGCGAACGATTGAGTGAGTGGTCCCCGTCCCAAGGCATCAAGGCATCAAGGCGAGATAGGACAAGGGATTGAAAAGTTGCATTTGTCCGTAATGAGCTGTCTTCTGGTCCACCCTTGACCCTCCTCGACCTCCACCCGGATCACTGGCCCCCCGCAGGATTTTCACTAGCGATTGGCCTGAGATGCATCGCGATCCACTTCTCCATCTTTGCCAAAATTTGGCGTAGAAGAATGTCAATGGCGATGGATATGAGGAATTTCTTTTCTGTCAATCGTTCCTACACAAGTAAACGGCCAACGACTAGTGTGAGATTGTCACGATGAGGTGAATCTGCTCAACTCCGCGGCGGTGGTTGGTGTTTGGTGGTGGTGGTGGATTCGAAGCTGCTGCAGGCGTCTCACCTGGTCCCTCCGCCACCCCGTCCGGGCACATGGAAGCCAAAGAATGACACAGTCGCACCTGATTCATTACGGGGAGCGGAGCAGACCCCCGTTTCCTTTGCACGGCGATCTGGGCTGGCCCGCAGCTAAGATGGCTCGAGTTTTTACTGGAGTGGCCTAGTCAGATCTTACCCCAAATTAACAATTCCAGCGCTGGCACTAAAAGTCAGCGGCGTGATTCATTATGCGAAAGGAAGGAATGGATGATTCCATTATTCGAATTGATTAGTCTTGGTAAATGTATGTTTGCTTTTTATTCCCGGCGCCTAACGCAGGTAAGCAGCCGTTTCAATGAATGATGGGACGACGAGGGTTCCTGCCGCCGCATCCGCACCGCATCCGCAGCTGGCCATGCACGACGGGCCATCCATCAGTTAGCATCGGGGTCTCGCTTCTTTGGAAGAGCGCGCGTCTGGTCCTGTTTATTATGTCCGGGGATGGTGTATTGTGTTTGCGTGGGTGTGCTGCGGCACCGCAATCGCTTCCCCTCATCTGGCTCGAGCCTTCCCCAAGTCGTACCTTCCCAACCTGCACCTGCTAGCAGTGGTACTTGGCAGAGCATGACTAATACGAGCGGCGGCTTGCAATTGGCTGCACGTAGAGTGTTACCTAATACTGGTTCCTTCTGTGGCCAGATGAATCAGTCGACTGAGTCGTCGAGGCTCGCCTCTGCGCCGGCGAATCCGTGTCTCCATCAATCCTTGGAGTCAATTCCGTTGGGGGTGGTGTCTTCATCTCCCTCATCTCATCTCATCTGATCTGATCCGCCATCTCGGATGGATGCAAGAAGGGAAGCAAGGGGATTGACAGGATCATCCTCCAGCTCTGCTACATTGCGATGTCGCCAATCCACCATCCATCTAGACAGAGATCATCTAACTGAGTTCAGTAAATCTCCATTTCTCCTCCTCCGCCTTTTGCTACTCCTCCCTCATCCCGCATTGGGGCTGTCCCCCGCACGGTGGACATGAACGACACCACACAGCATGACAACAGGGTGAGAAGCGCAATTATTAGAGTTTCAATTCTGCGGAGAGTGCCCGGGCGAAGGGAGCCGTCTAGACTCTACAGCCACTGTGCCCCTGGGGGAGGCCATACCCCAGTCTCAATCCCAAGCCAAACCTGGGGAAGACTCCAGCCTAGCCACCATTCCCCCAATCCCCATCCTCACCCCCATATGCGATGCGGGTGCGGTGCGAAGTGATGCAATGCTGGCTCGAGTTGTCACCAGGTGGCTGCGTCTGGCTGGTCTCAACAAAACCTTTCCCCATACGGAGCACAGGACCTACACACAGTTCTGACACTCTCCCCGCTCGATGGTCTCCATCTCCAGTAGACTACTGTTCCCTACTCTGTCTGATTCGCTCAGCGCAGGACCATCTAGAATCGGCTCGTGGGGCCCCTTGACTAGCACATTGGTTTGCCCTGCTAGACGAAGACGGGACAGCGTAGCTCCGAACGGGGCTTGACACTTGGAGGACAAACTCTTCTCGCCAACTTTGCTTGGGCTCTAGATGGGATTAAGGCCTGGGGTGAGAGACCTGCCCAGCCAGGGCAAGGTCATGCCATGGAGGTGGGAGCGGAGTGAGCGGCCCCATCCAACAGGCCCGACTAATAGTACCGCCTGTTGCTGGGCTTGAAGTGCCATGCTTGCTACTAGCTTCGTGTCTTTGCTGCTACTGCTACTGCTGTTTACTGCTGCGATCTCCGTCATATCGGGTCAAAGGAGCGTGTCTCCCTTAGGTCACCGCAACGGGGCCAGCCTGTTTCGTTTGTCGAGTAAGCTTCCCCGCGTATGAATCAGTGCTATCGTGTATAATAATAGTCCAAGAGCCCCTTGTTCGCCTTCCACCAATCTTAGTCCTAGACCTGGCATGCATATTTATCTCTCCGACCACTAGTTTCTTCCCAGGTGGTTCTACCCCCTTTGCTCCATTAGTTATTTGAACCATACCGTACCCCATCTGAAATTTCCTCCTCACTCCCTCCTTCACTCGTCTATCGATTTTCTCAACATAGCAACCCAATGACTCACCCATCAACTCCCGAGAAAATAATGGAACAAGGCAACGGCAACCCCAATGGCATTGCCTACAACCATGATGAGGACCGACAGGAGAACCTCGATCGCTTCCGTACCGCTGGAAGCGTCGCCATGAGCCCTGAACTCTTTGAGAAGCTCTATCTCACTCCTCTCAAGAGTGTCCACGGAGATCTTCGAAAGACATTTGCCAACCCTACTCCTATGTGAGCATCATCCGACTTTGCAGTCGTCCTAAACAGTCATCACTAACCGGTCATCTTGATAAACAGTGCCCTCGTCGGATTCTTGATTGCTCTGACCCCATTGTCCTGTGACTTGATGGGCTGGGCTGGCGCTGGCGGCGGCGGTGCTGCTTCATCGTAAGCCACCCTGATTCTATCCATATACTATCTTTTAAAGCCATCAGATTCACTGACATTGTCATCTTGTAGTGGCTTCTTTGTATTCATGGGTGGCCTTCTCATGTTCACGGGTGGTGTTCTTGAATGGGTTCTCGGAAACACCTTCGCTTCAGTTGTGTTCTGCACCTTCGGCGGCTTCTACTTCTCATATGGCGCGACTCTCCTCCCTGCTTTCAACACTTCCGCCGCGTACGCCCCAGCAGATGGTCCTGCCTCAGCCGGTGCAGCAACTCAAGGGTTCAATGCCAGTCTCGCTTTCGTCTTCCTGTTCATGGGCGTCCTCTGTTTCATCTTCTTGGTCTGCTCCCTCCGAACCAACGTCGTCTTTGTCATCATCTTCCTCTCTCTCATGCTGGCCTTCCTCCTCCTGACTGGTGGATACATGGCACTGGCTTCCGACTTCACTGGCAACGCTGACAAAGCGGGTAAACTTATCATTGTAAGTTCAGCAAATGGCATGGCGAAAAATTGTCTTGAGAGTCAATACTAATTTGAGAATCACAGGGTGGCGGAGCGAGTGCTTTCGTGTGTGCCATGGCTGGTTGGTACCTGTTGACGGCCCAGATGCTGGACGTTGTTGACTTCCCCTTCGGTCTTCCCGTTGGCGACCTCTCCGGCCTCATCAAGGGACGCTCCGAGCGTGCTGCCGCCAAGAACTAAGCACGATGGGCCTCTACTATCGAACTGGCAAATCATCTACTTGAGACTGTCTACATATAAATAATCACTTTGGAGGATTCGGTCGATTTGAATAAAATGGTTGGCGCAGGGGAAGTACAACGTGGTCACGGAATACCCATTTGAGGACCAACAGATATGTTTTAGTGTACTATAGCGGGGGTGAAGGCGTGTAGATTCTAGATGTTTATATACATACACACTTTCAACAAAAATGACTTTGACACGCTGCTCGTCGTCAGATATGCGTTGGGCTTTCAATGAGTGATTTCACAAGGTCGCCGTAGTATCATATCAAGTTCCTGAGCCCATGGATAGGGGATGGACACATATCGGATCGAGACAACATTACCCGTGAGACAATCTAAATGAAAAGAAATTTCCCGCAAGCTATGCTAGATGTGTTGTGATGGTTTCTCCGCCTTAGGTCTAAACTGGTGGGTTTGACGAGTTCAGGAGAGGAGGTTTGTCCTCATCTCGAGCTACACTAGCAGTTGTTTTTGCTCTGGTAAAACTTGTCACTCGTTCTGAGTGGTTTTTTTTTTCACCTCTCGTGTGTCTTAATCATACTATTAAACCACCTTTATCGTTTCATGTGTTGTTAGTCGCGTCTTTGATGGGGGCTGCTGAATACTCAGGGGCTGCAACCACAACACGGCAGGTCAACAGTTCGTTCTAAGGAAGGATTCTCCCCGTGATTCCATTGGGGCAGGAGACCTAATGTCAGCAGCTAGGAGCATTCCCTCTTTGGCTAGGAGTAAACTAATCCTGAGCTGTTGGATGAGCCCAGTAGCCCCCCATCCTTCCTTGGTGGACTAGTCGCATGTTTCTCAGCTCCAGTGAGCTTTTCCCAACTGGAAGAATGAAATTACTAGTGACATCTCGTTGTTTCCAGTAGGCTATTGATCTTTTGTATTGGATTTCAAAAGTTTTCTCCCAGCTAAATGCATTGGATTATCCATCCCAGGAGATACACAAAGATGCCCACTGTGATGTTGAACACTACACTGCTCAACACCCTCCCGTAGAACTCCCCCCTTCGCACGCCGGTCCCGTACAGTTAAATCCAATCGGGTTCACGACATTGCCACACAGGTACGCCCCCGCGTCGCTGCCATTGCTGAACTTCACATCGACGTCCAGCAACGCGAGGTTGGTGCAGGGGGCGACGGCGCTGCACTGGAAACTGGCCACGCGTCCCGTTTTGTCCGACGTGGTGCCCCGGAGCCCGTCGATGACCAGGTCGCGGATCTGGAACTCGGAGTTGGTGCAATTTCCACTCCCAGGGGCGCCGGAGAAGCGGGTGCACTGGGAGATGGTGACTGCGCCGCCACGCAGCCCCTCTACCTGGAGGTTACTCGCGGCCATGTTGGCGGCGTCTATCACAGTGGGTTTAATTTATTAGTTTTTACGCTTTGTCAGTTATTCTGGAGGTGGTTTTGTTGAGGGGGACGTACACCCGAGTCCACCACCTCCGCCGTTGGGAGGGTAGCCGTTTCGGTCTGCTGTCCACGTTTTGAAGTAATACTGTAACTCTTGTTATCACAATTTTCATTCAAGTGAGAAGCATTTATCAAATGTCACTTACTGCGTGGAGAGTGTTTTTGAAGTAAATGTTGTCCACGTGCACGTTCTCGATAACCTCAAACGCCCCATAGTACTGCCCAATGCTACCAATGGCGATGCCCAAACCGTTGTAAAACTTGGAATTAATGATTGTGATGTTAGTGCTGTCTGCCTTCAGACTGATGCTGTCGTCGCCGTTGTACACTGTCCAGTTGTCAAACTTGATTCCAGACGATCGGATCGTGTCGGCGCCGTCCGTGTTCGCTGCAGCTGTCAGACAATCGCGCCTAGATCAAAGAATCCAGAGGCTCTAGGGTATTCTCACAGCTACTGTATACGTTTCCGGTGTTATTCACAAAGATATCCGTCAAATCGACATTATGAGAGTTGATGATGGACATTGTCCTGCCGAGGGATAATCAGCAAGTTAGTTCGGCCATCTCCCCAGATCTCGCCACATACCACATCTGGCTCCTCAGGAACCTGAGCCCCTTGACAACTGAGTTTGTCAATCCGTTAAACGTGATGGCATGCGGGCGTCCAGGGTAGTTTGAGGTATTGGGCTGCTGCCGGATGAAACTGTACCAAACGTCGCCGTTGCCGTTGAAAGTGCCGGCACCGAACCCATTGATACGTATATTGTCTCCGCCTAGAACCCAGGCGGTTGACTGGTTCTGGTAGCCCACGGGCAGGGAGTTGTTCAGCCAGTAGTCGATATCTGTACCCCACTGAAGTCATCGCCTGTTAATTTACGCACATTATCAAAATGGAGCGTCGTCAGTTCAGATGCAACATACCAAAAGTTCGCCGTGTATATCTATGCTGACGTCTTCGAGTCCCGTGGTATTCAGAACAGTGTTGATGTGATATTCAGAGTCCTCAAAGACAATCTTTCCATGCTTGCCGCATTTCTTAAACGCGTCGCGGACGGCTGGGGCATCATCCTCGTCGAGGCTGCCGAGAGACTTGACCACACACCTTTTTCTACAACCGGGATCATTTGAACGCGTAAAGGCGTTATTTTCTGTATTGTCTGTTGAGGCAAGAGCCAAAACCGGAAATAAAGAAAGGACGAGGCGTGTTAAAATCATTTTTCCCGTCATGCGTGAATCACGAATATGGCCGGACTCTCGAAAGGGGCAGAGTTGCTGGAGTCGGCTACATACTGCGAATTATTTTTTGATCAACTCTCTCTACTTATCATTTCAAGTACTACCTTTTGTCGGTAAAGCTGCTCGCGAATCGAGTTGAAGATACAATGCCATGGTTCAACGATGTTACCAACCGGATGAGCTCCAGCGCCATCGGGCTAATGAAAAGCCGAATAGTTTCCCAGTATAAACCAGGACTCGGCGCCGGTTAAAATACAGATCGTCAATGTAGTGGTGGACAATTCGTGTCACATCCATGGCCGGGTTGTTTCGAGCGGGGTACATGGATCTCCTCGGGAAAATCGCATCGGAATTGAAAAAGGTGACCTGTCTATTGCCTCAGACAATCCGCGGTTGAAATATCACAAGACAAGAATGGTGTCTAGACGTATAATCACTCTGCTTAGCTTTGTGTTGCGTAACAAGTGTATCTGCATGTTCCTGGAGAAGGGGCTGAATACGGGAGATACGAAATAGCCCAGATCCAAGTCAGGTGATAGACCATGATGCCACTTTTCGCGACTCCAAGTTTGCCCACCAATTCCTCTCTGATACAGGTATATCGAGACACATATGATCCAATATCCAGTCAACAACAATAATCACATAATGTCTCAGTCATACCCAACACAGACCCTTGCCCGACTGATCGGACCGTCCCTCGTAGTGATGGCACTAGCTGAGGGAATACACGTTGATATCTGGTCCAACAATACACCTCCGGTCGTCTTTTTCAACGGAAACGTCCTATTCGTTGCGGGCTTGGCCATCGTTCAGGCACACAACTACTGGGCTCTGCGGCCCCCAGTCCTGGTCACCCTGATCGGATGGAGCTCGTTAAGCCTTGGCCTTTCACGCATGCTCTTCCCACACCAGAAGCCTTATATTCTTGCGAACAGCCCATGGCAGACCGTTCTCCGGATTGGGGCCCTGTGTTTGGTTGGCTCATCTGTCGCTGCCATCGGGTACGTGCAGTAGAGGGTAACCAGACTATTATCCGGAGCAACTGGATAGATTTATCCAAACCTACTCCTTTCGGGAAAGGGAGTTCAGAAAGCTAGAGATACCTCAAAACAGACCTTGGCTCTCTAGCCCCTCCCGTCAGGTACGCGATGACGAAGTGTTTTCCCTTGGATCTTTAATTGAGGCGGCGGGTGGTGGTGTTTGATGTTTGAGACATCCTTGTTCCATGATGAGCTTCTTCGCATTCCGAAAGTTCCCAGTCATTCATTCCCCGATACAAGCAGTACATGTGCCCCGTGAGCCATTCTCTCTTCTCATATTTCTTCCTATTTCCGGATATATCGGAAAATATAGACCAGAGTGAGCAGCCATCGACGTGATCTCGGAGAATCGGAAGTTTTGTTTCCAACCACATGGGGCCAGTCACCCTTTTTTGAGGTGAGACAACTTTTGGGCATTTTTCGGTCTTTAGTAATCGAATCCTACATAAAGAGCCAGTTAGGTCATGGATTCTAAAAGCACTTGGCTATCACGAGCTTCATCGCCAAGTTGAAGAATGAGGGGTCAAGGAACTGAGACGCTCGTGGCCGCATATCATGAAGCTCATTAGGATGTACTCGTCTATATGGATACACGCCCTTCTCATACCTTGGCAAGACATAAGGAGGGATAATAGCTCTGATTTCATTATATGGTGTGGCTATTAGCGCCGGTCGCATAGAAAGTCGATGACAGTGATAGGAACAAAAAAGGGATGTGGAATGGACTTGAGGCAATTCCTTCTGAGGCATGGTCAGCATCATTGTCTCGGTAGAACTTCTCTTACCAGGAAATATATATGTGCAACTGAACCAAGAAACATAGCACGGGATCACGATGGGAAAACCTCAAGTCTCCCATCTACAGCAGATCCCGTACCGCAATATATCCCTCCCAAAACGGAGTTTCAAATTTCTACTTCCCAAAGAGGTAGTTACCTCGAACCATGTCCAGAAGCAGCAGCGAGGAGACTCAGGGTCCCAGCCATGATGAATTGGCTTCGTCCGGTTACGGAATAGATGCCACCACCAAATTGACCCCTGAGGAGAATGTCATTGCAATGCACGTTCGGAAAAAGGTCGATTATCGTATCTTGCCCATAACCCTCGTTGTATATCTGTTGGATTTTGTCGATCGTAACAACTATTCGTTAGCAAGGTTGCAAGGCCTTGAAGCTGACCTAGGCCTCACAGAATCCGAATATCAAGCAGGTGCGTCACTACATCACCTTGTACTTGGTGAGCTCTGCCATTGACCAAGTTTTATAGGGCTTTCGTTATTTTTTGTAGGATATTTGCTGGGCCAGGTCCCCGCAAATCTTCTTCTCAATCGATTCGCTCGCCCTTCGTATCATCTTGCATTTTTCACATGCATCTGGGGTATTATCTCGACGTGTACGGGCTTGTCTCGGGGGTTTCGAAGTCTGGCTGTGTGTCGATTTCTTCTAGGTTTCGCTGGTAAGTGTTTAGCTTCCCGGTATCCCACGTCTCGGAGGTTGCTCATGTCCACTTACAACTGAACATGGAAAGAGGCACCATTCTTCCCGGGGGTCATCTTTTGTCTCTCCAAGTGGTACACGAAACAAGAATTGGCTTTCAGAGTAGCCATATTTTCGTCAGGAAATCTCATTTCTGGTGCCTTCGCCTCGCTTATCGCCGCTGGTATTCTAGAGGGAATTGGCCATGCTCGAGGGCTCGCTCCTTGGCAGTGGCTCTACCTTGTGACAGGGCCAGTGACAATACTCGTAGGGCTCTTTGTATGGATCGTCTTACCTGATTTCCCCGAGAACTGGAAAGGGTTATCTCCCGAAGAGCGCAGGGTGGCCATCCTCCGAGTGGCTATCGATGGATCCCAGGCAGATATCGATGAACCTGGTATGACACAGTTCAAGGGCCTCAAAATGGCTCTCACTGACGTGAACACATATGTTCTCGGTCTTGCGTACATGTGTATAATCGGCAGTGTCGGTTTTGGGCTCTTTCTTCCGTCGCTCACGGCATCATTAGGATACAGCCACACAGTCTCGCTGCTCCTATGTACTCCTCCATACATCTTTATGACGATATGGCTCATTGTTCATTCTTGGCTGTCGGATAGATGGAACAGTCGATTTTGGTTCTACATGTACCCGCTCCCGATATCGATAGTCGGCTTCGTCATCTTCATGACGGCGGATCAGGCCATGTTTGCTGCTCGGTATGTCAGCTTATTTCTCATGCCCTTCGTCTCAGCTAGTGCAGTCAGCGCCTTTTCGTGGGTCTCGTCTTCAATCTCTCGGCCTCCGGCAAAGCGAGCGGCTGCCTTTGCCATCATCAACTGTTTCGCCACCAGTGCCAGCATCTGGGTTCCATTTGTCTACATCGCTCCCCGGTACACAATGGCCATGATCATCAACATAGTTCTCTGCGTTTGTGCCGGGATACTCGGTGTCGTCCATTTGTATGTGCTTGTGTGGCGTAACAGAAAGCTTGCTCGGATCGAGGAGTGCTCGGCCAGCATTCCAGCTAGCCCGGGACGAGATGATGTTCGGATGGAGGGATCTGAGACCAAAGACGTAGGGAAAGTGTCGAAAAAGGGTCTCAATCGGGGGTTTCGTTATATGCTTTAGAGTCGTTCTCGAGGCGTTTGTCTCGAGGGGGGATGTGCCGGGCAGAGCCCAGGGCTTCGGGTTGGTCGTCGACGTCGGTAGTACGAGGACATTATGTCAGCTAAACAAATATTGCATCAGATAACTCACCCGTGATTGCTTTCCCCTGATAAATGAAGACGATTCTTCCGCGTTTGGATGAATTTTCCCGTTTGGTGGCAGTTTTTTGCTGCATGGGGCGTTGGTAGCTGCTGAGGTTGGCAGCAGATAAAGTCGGGGGAAGGAAGCATCAGGGGCAGAAACTTCTCCCATTCACTTCCACCCTCACCCACTTCCACCCATTCTATTCTGGATTTACCAAGTATTTGGCTTCTTCTCTAGCTTTTCTCAGCACGATATTATGATACAGTATTATTTGATGCCTCGTTACCGGATGAGATTTGGTTTCTCGACCCAAGACCTGGGTGAACACTTGTGTCTACGAAATCTCACCCACGCCTTCACATCTTCAACCGTTGCGTGCAGACTTACCATAACGAGAGCTCCAGGTATGAGCAATCTTTTGAATTTGATTTTGTTGACTAGAGAATGCGAGAAAATATATCGTTAACTACGAAGCGGGTGTCTAGAATCCTCGCCGCGACGCACCTCTCCACAGAAGAAACAGCTTCCTACCAGTATTCACACTTCGCGGCCATGTCATCGTTTTTACGATCTATCGTACCACCTAAGCGATTTTTAAAGGACACACTGCCTATCATCAGGCCCAAGCCGGTTTCACGAATGGTGCACGCACCAAAGGATCGACGGGCAGGAATGGAGTGAACGGAGAGGGTTGTAAGATGGAAGGTCCAATGAGGATCCAGAAAGAAATAATTTCGAAGGAGAGTAGAATATGACATCAAGTTCTGAGATAGCAGAATCCTGTCAGTATCCGTACTCTGTGGTCTGATCCCCAGCCCACAGACGGGACGTCGACGCGCTCTATCTGCTCTGTTGACAAACTGTCAAGCCAGCACATTCTAGATTTAAACTCAATGAATCAAATACTACCTGTTGCATATAACTATGCCACATGCCGGGAGATATTCATGTGGCAAATTGGAGAATGTGATAGATCTCCAGTTGACCATACAAGGGAAACGATTCACAGAGGGCAGCGAGGTGAAAAATTGACACAGAAACTTGCTCTTTACCTCAGCCAGTCTTTATCTCGTATGAACTTAGCTTCAGCGGTTGTCTCTACGGAAGTAATCAGAGAGCCCACGAGCTCATGCCGGGCTCTTCGCTCAATGCGTAGCAGATAGAGTCCAACAGAGCAGACGAAGTGCTGCATCGTTTGGCCAAATGCAGATTTGCTACATATCAAGAGCAAAGAAGTAGTGATTATGCGTACCCTAATTCCCATTATTCTATTGCGGTGAGTCCTTTAAATGGTTGCTTAGGTACTTGGTCCAGTGCCCGTAAGTACGAGGAAGCCTGGGAGGCTTATTGTCTGCCGTTTGTTGACCGCACGAACTGCCACGCTCCAAGTCGTCAACAGTTGTCTGCCACTTCTGCCCGCCCCTTTTCTTCCCTCCAGAATTTCCCTCTCTTCTCTTCTCTCACCCGGACGCACTCGTGAATTCTTTCTCAGGACCTCTTGTCCAACATTTCCAACCATCTTGGCTCGTCCAACTCTTGTTTATTCTTCCCAATCTAGATGAGAGAAAACTGATATCACATCGGCACGAGCAGACCAAGAACACTTCTGTCTTTTTCACTTTACGGCCTAGCATGTTCTTCTCTTCTTTTCGTTGATCAATTCACGATACTGAAGAGTGAGTCACTACCGCCAATCAGCTTTCCAACCTGGCTAAGAAGCAATCCGACATTACATCCACTCAAGAAGACCAAGATCACTTCTTTCTTTTTCTGTTTCTCCCTGGATTCATCTTCCTTTCGTCGATAAAACTACGATACTGAAGACTAAGTTACTATCACGTACCGGCGTTCCAACTCTAGCTGAGAGGAAATTCGTTATCACATCCACCCAGCAATACCGCCAAGCTGTCTTCCTAAGGAGACTGAGATTACTTCTTTCTTATTCATTCACCACCGAGGCGTCTCTTCTTTTCGTTGATCAACTTACGGCACTCGAAACTCACTACGGCGTACTAACTTTCCAACTCGATCTAAGAGGAAATCGGATATCACATTCACGCGAAGAGACGGAGATTACCTTTCTTTATCCATCTACGACACAAGCTTCTCTTCATTTCATCCATCAACTCACGGTACTGGGCATTCACTACCGCGTACCAACTTGTCAATCCTAACCAAGAGGAAATCGGATATCAACCTACACGAGGAGACTGAGATTACTTCATCTTCTTCATCGACCGCCAAGGATTCCTCTTCTTTTCGTTGATCAGTTTTCATGATACTCGAGAGTCACTACCACGAATCATCTGTCCCTGTCAATACCTTAAGACACAGCGAACCATCCATACAAGCCAACCATGTCTCAATCCAATCGACTCGTCGCCTATGAACAGTTTCCATCCCCAGAAGATCGCAATGTGTTCAACTTCCCGGCGCTCCCTTTTCAAATCCGCGAACAAATCTGGGAGCTAATACTCTCACAGTCAAGAGTCGTTATCATCCTACCCCATGCCGATACAAACCGCCGCAAAAGCACCACCGGGCCTCCTGCGATCATCTCCGTCTGCCAAGAGTCTCGAGACTACGCCCTGAAGCGCTTCGTCAACATCTTCCCGGGAAGTTCCAACCCGGTGTACGTCAATCCCCAAGCTGACATGGTTCTTCTCTCGAACTATGCCTCCCACACCTGGTGGGTCGGAGGCTTCGGCGGCCTCGATCTATCCGGGGTCAGAGCCCTCGCCATCCTGCAGGAGGACTTGGGGCTGCACCCAGCCAACGACGACGCCAAGATGATCGGGGAGCCTGACGCTGTGGCATCCCTCGCCGGGCCCGCTCCTGCCCCAGAGTGGGATATCCTTTCCAAAGATATCATCAAATTCTTCCAGCGTACTCTCATTCTCTGCTCGGGAAGCGAGAGCGTCAAGGACCTGGGGGTCCTGGTCATGCCCCCAAACACCAAGAAGTGGGCTCCAACGGAGTTGGAGCTTGAGATCCAGCAGCAGCTGGGCCCCGAGGTCCTCCCCGAGGAGCTTCCCCTCCTCGCAAGACTGGAGGATTTGGGCAAGGGCCGCGCCGCGGGAGTGTCGGAGTCCCCGACACTCCCTCGCTACGCCGTCACGGCCAAGCCAACCCGCGCCTCCGCGGCCGACCACGGAGAGTCGCCCGCTCTCGAAGACGGGCTGGGCTTCCAGCACTGCTGGAAAGAAGAGGAAGTCCCCGATGACTTCGAAATCGCCTGGCTTGGGGTCCGCCTCTACCGGGCCCCAGGCTCCTCGGGCGGCGGTCGCCGCATGATTGTTGATCGATGTGTGGTAGAGTTATAATTATCTATAATTATTGTATTAATTTAATGTTTTGATCATCCAATTACGCTAGGAAGGAGAGAAAGAGTGACCATGATGACCAGTACACGATACTAGCCCGCCCCCGGCGCGATCTGGAACCCTCCCCTTGACGTAGACACCCTTCTGGTTTCTCAGAAACACCTAAGTAATCAGCCTGTCGGCGTTTCCATATTCCTAGACTAATCCTCCACTAGTGGTCCAGATCTATCCACCCAAAGTCGACGAGGTTTCTTTTATTCTAACCAAGAACCACAGCTCTTTACTTCCAGGCAATTCAAGGTGTCAGCGCTACCGAACACGCCTAGATTGCTTTACATCTCAATAAGCGTCTTGCCACCACCTGCAGAGCACTTCTTGAACTAACTAGGAGGCAACGTGGTAGTGGTGTCCGTTGTGTTTTCAGCCTATTGTATGCCCCCAGGAATAGGTTGGTAGACACGGCGAGTTTTTGCCAAACTCATAAGACGCGAGTTGGTTTGGCTCCAGCTAGAGTCCAGTTCTCATCAGCCTGGAAAGCGGCATTAAAGAGTTAAACGAACCAAGCCTTATCATCACATCGTTGCACGCACCAATTGGTAGCAATTCTCCAACGGGAGGACCAACCACCATAACCATAACCATTTTCAATTGACCATACATCAATTGTCAATTTTTTATCTACGCCAGACCATAGATCCCGGTGATACCCCTCGGACCAACCCATCCAGGGCAAAACCAAACCTTCCAGCAGTGGTACCAATGACCATTAAGCTGGGCAAGATTAGGCGTAGTGGGAATATATTCCGTCACTCGTCTGTTATCTGAGCTTCAGATTGCTTGTGACTTCAATCCACTGCCTTCTTCGGCCATGGCCACTCCCCTACCCTCAGCCATGGCGGCCAACGAAAACCAGCTGGCGATGAGCAATGTTTTACTTTCGACGGAACTACAGCTGCCTCTCGCTATCTATCCAAGGTGAAGAGGATTGTCAAATTCATGACTCACGACATGAACTCCATCCCTTCTGACTTTACTACGACTGTAAATGAGTTCTGTGTGGGAATCGTTGTCAATTTTCACGATAGCAGTATGGCACTCAGCAAGGTCATCGAGAAGGCGGAAGGAGGCAACGCCCAGGAGGATATGACTAGATTCCAAACCGCTCTCAATGGCCGCTTCCCTGCCCTTATCGCCAAGGAGTTAGAGGCGGACGATGGTCCCCTCCTTGTCTATAGCATTCGTGAAAGAATCTGGTAGAAGCGAGTTCTTTCGGTGAGAAGATATGATCTTTGGCTAACCTGAAATCAGCTAGGACAAGAACTTTTTAATTGAGTCAGCGATTGAATATGCTGAATCGTCTATCTGGTCCCGTCGACGGCGATTTATTTTGATTGGTAGGCGCTTGCCTATGATATGATGGCGAATGTTTGTTGTTAAGTGAGGAGACTATTTGGGCTATATTTACTTAAATCATTACTGATTTTTCTTTTGGTTATTTTAGTTGACTGATAATGCCGATAATACAATGAAGTACTTACGGTAGAATAGGCTCTGAATCTCGCACTTACATAAAGGCTCGTGATCCCATACCCAAGTACTATTGACAAGGTCAGAATACAAACCAATAGCGGGTAGAAATGCCAATACCAAGATATATTATGTGTGTAAAACCACAAATTAAATCACTTATTATGCCCCAGGAGAAAAGTATGATATGTGCCTAGGGTGGCCTCTTAGAGAGGATGGAGCCAAGTTGGGTTCAAGGCAACCGGATTTCCATGATATGTGAAGATTGGTTCCTTGATTTCACTAAGTAAATTGGAGTCCAAGTGATATCCAGTAAAGGAGAAATAATCCCATATCAGAGAATCTATTACGCGCCTCTTCCATGCCTTTCCGCTTCCTCTCCCCAGGAATACCAAGCCTCGAGGGTGGACGTACCCATAGCGGACCAGTCAACCACGAAAGCAAGCCTCTTCTTCTAGGTTCGATTACCGGATATTCTAAACCAGAGGGATGGATACCACCACGGCCTTGCCATCGACCGCGGCCGGCAAGTCCCACGGATGTGAAATTATGGTGACCAACTTCCTCAAAACAGTTAATAAAGAGGAACTTAAGGCCTTAATTTCCTCCCACAAAACTGACATCCTCACGTCCCTAGGAGGTCACTGTTTAGGAGGTGCCGTCGCCGGGGATTGTGTGACAAGGACGCGTTGCAGGCCCTGCTTCAGACAGTAAGCTTAGGGAAACTTGCCGTCACATTTGATCTTGCGCTATCGGCACAAGACGCAAGATATCGACACTCGCCGGCAATTTCGAGCAGCAACTCATGATCCCCCGAGGTGTTTCTCGATTCCTTCGCGGTGAAATCACGTCATTGACTCACAATTTCATCTCCCACGCCCCTATTACCAACCCCACAAGCACACCCTATGCCCATCTGAAAAAAGTCTCAGCCTTCTCTTTCATCACCACACACCATCATCACCTTCTTTTTTCCAAGACATAGATCAGCCACGCCCCCCCCCCGGCGACCCAGACAAGCTCATCTGTCGCCAGAAAAAAACGCCGGTAGGCATCTCACTAATCGAGCAGTTCATCGGTCCCTCACCCCACACAAGTGAACCCTCAAATCGGCCCGCGACCTGTCTCGCATCGGCCATATTGGAATTCCCAGGGTCCCCCAACCAGACACAGAGGGGCGCTGGTTTTGATCGCCGACTTGAGACACGCCAATAACTCTATTCAGAGCGAACTGTCCCAGCCGCTCTGTATAATTGGTCAGAGTCCCACGGAGTTGGGTTAGCTTGAGCTACCTGCTCTGCTGCCATCCTGGCTGAGCGATATCCCATCCATGGGAGACCAGTCTACCAAGAAAACACAAGTTCCATATTACATGGTGTAAACTGCCGTAACAGCCAGCAAGCTAGAAAGAGCCGAGAGGCTCGGGGACTCGGAGCCACAGACATGCCGATCTTTATGCGGTTTCTCTTCTCCGCATGAAGCAGGTCTCACAGCACACATCAGACATTTGACCGTTGGCACTGACGGACATGAAGGCCTCAGATGTTTGTCTCCGGAAGTCTCATTGCATTAGCAAGTTGTACCTACTTCAGACTCTTTGAATAGAACTGATGTGCGGTCGAGTTCGGAAGTTGTGAAGCCATAATCCCCAATGGAAAATAGGAGGCTGGCTTTGAGTCTTTACCGATTTGGCCTCGGTAGGTCTCTCTTCAATAGTAGCAGCGCCTGGGGCATATGAGCTATGATTTCTGCATCAACACGGTCAAGAGATCATCTCCAGCCTGACCCGCCATCAGTCTTGAAGGAGGAGTGATCTGTTGATGGCATCAACTGTAAACCAGCGTGCTACAGTTGAGGATAATGGGGACCAGTGTCAGAGCCACTACCCAAATCGCAAACAACACGATAACTTGCGCAGAGAAGACACGTCTCGCCATATGAGGCAATCCGGGCAGTCTCGGTATAGGTAGACCAAAGGCTTCTGATCCAGAATTATGGTGGTATGAATTGCACCGCCGGAGCTATGCTATGCTTCCCAACAGCATTTTCACATCCTCGACCTCACGACCTGTTCCACATGCAAACTTGGCAATTAAACATAGGCATTGTGGAAAAATGCTGCCTGCTCAATCAACGCCAGTACTGAGACGGCCGCGTCTGAGCCGCAGGACCTTCTGTCGAAACCTGAAGCTTCCCAGTCCAGAAGAAATGCGGCTCCCCCAGCGGCACGACTGACCCAGCGGGCGTGTCTCGCTTCAACTCCATGTACCTCTCTCTGCCCGCGAGGCGGTATCTCTTCAGATCGTCCAGGACGTCCCGCATCCCGGAGAGGGACTCGATGGGCGGCGAGACGAGCTGCTTAGGCATGGTGGCAACGCACCAGGTAACGTGGAAGACGTATGCGTCCGGCGGCACTCCGACCGCGACCTGCGCGGGCGTCGCGGGCCCAAAGCCTTCCCTGAGTTGCTGTTCGACCACCAGCCTTCGATATTCACGGATGACTTGGTTAGTGCTTGGATCCTCGCCAATCCACACCGGGATCGAGAAGTGTTTCCCATTCCACTCGCTGCGGTAGGTGATGTACTCTTGGTCATCTCGGACCGATTTCTGGGGGCCTCCGGTACCTGTGCTGGAATTCGCAGTGTCTTGCGACTCAGACCTCTCTTGCGCCTCCACATATGCAGTGACAGGAGATGGAGACTTTGGCTGGCTCCGCTCATCATCATGTCCAAAGAAACTGAAGCATTTCTCCCCGCTATTCATCAAATTCGCGGCGTCGAGGTCATCCAGGCTGGAAAACCCATCCTGCATCGGGTCAGGTTCGAACTCAAGCCTGAGATGTCTCAAACCCTTTAGGACGGTGGGCCCACGCCACGATCTCACCTGTGCCGCGCCTACATCTTGAATGTCGCGCTCCTGAACGGATAAGAGCTTCAAGAAAGTGACCAGCCGATCCACCAGAGGACCTGAGGAACGCCGCGGGAGACCGGTCAATGTCAATGATGCGAGGCGTGGGTTCATGTCTGGGATGAAGGTTTGCCCGTATGCCAATTCCAGTCGGGGCAGAATCTCAGTCTCGGCAAGATAGATGGATGAAAGCGATGAGAGTCCTTCAGATTTCAGAGTCGGTATGTGTGTGACAAGCGAGTGATGGATCCTCAGCGTACGGAGGTTGGATGAGAACACTGGGCGGAACACATGTGCCACACCAACGACACCATACAAGGTGGTAGATTTTGGCCAGCACCTTGAAGCTTGAGACGACGGCGGCAGCATGAAGATGGAATCGCAAGCCAGGTCCTCCAACTGACCGTTGGACATTTGAATCAACTTGGTAAGACCAAAGCACGATAATTGGCTGCTTGACACGTCCAGGTGAGTCAACCCGCGCGAGAAACGGAACCTATCTGCATCCAGCTGTTCCCCTGAGAGTGTCGCACTTGCGGCTTCGGCAGAGTTCCGTCGGCCCAAGGTACGCCCGTCGGATCGAAACACTTCATCCTCCTGCTGAATCCGATCAGGACGTGCATGATATGTAGGTGCATCGACCAAGTACCGTTCTGGGTGGCTAAAAGTCCTGCTCCACAAAGAATCCTGAACAAAGACAGATGTGCCAAGGTGGTATGACCCGTGCTCGCCTTCAACCAGTCTCCCCTCGACGTAGAAATGTTGGGAGGAGCGCAATTTGGTCATGGGGAAACAATTCGTGGTTATGGTATCCACCACATCATCTGATATTTTATTGTGGCCGATATCCAGGCTCCAGAGGCGCAATCTAAACAGAGCAGTCAATGCTTTTAGAGTCGTATTGTCAAGCTCTCGATTGCGAATCTTAAGAATGCGCAAGTCAGGCAGGATAGCGGGCTGGATGAGCGGATAGATAGACCCCGGTACATGAGATACATCCAGATAGACTAAGCTCTGGAGAGCAGGAAGACTAAAGAATGCGTTGGGAAGCTGAAAGGGGGAGCCAGAGATGCTAAGCAGTTGCAACGCCTTGGTGCCAGAGCCAATGAGGGTGCTGGGAGCGACGTCCTGGTGGCCATCAAGCAGCAGACAGTTAACGTTGGGCAAAAGGGCCAACGCCTGTCTCAAGCTCTGCTGAAAGGTACTGTCCAGCGCAAAGTCATATGCATCCTTGGCAAAGTCACGGGTGTCCAGCACGCGGACGAGTTGCCTAGTTCCTGGCCTGACGCTACTGAGCCGATTGAATACAAAGTCTAACCACCAAGAAACGTCTTTGGGGTGAGAGGCGTTAGCATTCGAGGTTGATGACTGCCCGTTTTTAGGGCGCGGGTGCTCCGAAACCTAACTCACGATCAGAGGGGTCAAGCCCGGTCTGTCTGGCGGCCGTCAATAGATCCGCCCAGAGGAGGGGAGCCAAGGCCTTCCAGAATCGACGGCTCACAAGACAAAGAGAGGATAGTTCAGAAAACTGAATATACGGCGCTACAAAAGCAAGCCAGTCCACTCTGGTGGTAGCTTCGTGGTACGAGGGAAGAGCATCCATGGCGAGCTGGCGCTAGAGAGGAATCGGTGGCAGCTGCAGATACAAAACCAAACGATCAATGTAGTTCTCTTGGATTTATTAGCGTTGCTACTCAAACAGGTGTTTGGATCGATCACATGCAATCATGCGGTCAGCCTGCTCTGCGCGCTGATCGAGATGGAGGAGGGGTGTCGACGGTCGGAGTGGTCCCATCTGAAGCCGTACGGCGGCGGTCGATGTGTACCAACAAATGACCGGTCGTCTGGGATCAACCTCGATCTCTAGGCGGGGTAAAAAATGGTGGTGATCGAGAGATACCTGCTCGAAACGAGGAGGGGAGGTTGGTCTAGAAAGCACCTCTGATAGGCGGCGGCGGCCGACCCCAGCGGCCCGGCCTAGGTGAAGCCAAAGAAGCAAAACCTGGCACAGCACAGTAGTGCGTGCAACTGGAGATGGAGGCAGGCGTGTCCGACTAGTCGTCGTCTAGCGGTCCAAGAGCTGCACCTGTTGGTGACAGAGATCTGGGTCGTCCCGTCCGAAGGAAGCAGCCCGTCGTCGCACAACCTGGCGGGGGTCTGGGGCCGAGGTGGGATGTGGAGCGGAGAGATGAGAAAACGACAGTAGGTCGCACAAGGTTAAGGGGAATGCGCAATGCAGAGATGGGATGAACAGCGTAGGTAGCTAAGGTAGTGGACCGACGCTTCGGTGGACCGGCAGGATGCAACTGTGAGGCGGCGGAGGACCAGGAAGCAGCACGTCGCAGCCAGCCCATTGATCCCACTAAGCCCACCTCACCGAGGCCCGGGCGGGGCCTCACTGTTACGCCGTCGCCCGGCGAGCTACATTAGCCTGGAGCCTACCTACATACGCCTGCGTCTACACACCACCTCATCGGTGTACTTGGCATGTAGGTAAGCCGCACAGCGCCTGCTTTAGTGAGCTGCCCGCCAGGACCAGGGAGGTACATAGCGATCCATGGGGCTAATGTAACCACTGGACCCAGGCTGCCGGCCCGTGGGCGGGCATGGATCCTTGCCAGGGTCTCTTCAATCAGAACCCCCAAAATTGTCCGCCGCCAGTGCTGCAAGATGATGCACGCACTACTACTCTGGCGGCAGATTGAGCGACAGCATCCACCGTCGTCGGCTTTCCTCCGCTTCACTACTACACTGCATCCTGGTGCCGGGCAGGTACTTGACCCTTGCCTTCACAGCCTTACCCGCCACCTGTCCGATGTATCTAGACTTCGGTAGGTACCTTAGCCACCTGTCCAGCCGCAAGGCCCTGGAGTCCCCAGCTGGCGAACAATACGTGCCATCGCGCTCATGCCTCGCAACTAGCCCTCAGCTAAGGGAACAGACCGCTTTGCCTGCCCGCCCACTGATAGCCTAGCCCGCTCCACCAAACTCCAGTTTGACGTGTCTGGGGCCGAGCATCTAAGGTAGCGTTGACCGAAACCGAGGCCCTCCAGGCCCCCTCCGCCACTCATCCAAGACACTTCTGTGCGGATTGCGAGCGAGGCCCCGGGACACATACGCAACTCGACCGAAGAGTCGAACGATTGTGGCGCCCCCCCTGGGAATCCGTGTGCCTACTATCAGGTGGACCAGGATTCTTCCCCTCGACGCACATATGCAGGTGAGCGTGTGCCGCCAATCACCAGCGGCGCTCGCCCGAGGCGGATGGAAGATGGATAGAAGACCTGAGCGAAGCCACCGGGGAAAAAAGAAACGTGCGGCGGGCAGATCATGGCCGGAGCCTCCGCGAGCCACTCGCAGCTCCTCGTCATCTTTCAGTGTATGCAGGCCATGACTAATGACCGCCAGCTCACAGGTCCCCTGTTTGGCTGTGTTCCCAATTGGTGCCTGGATTGATATCTCAGACACTCGTTATTGTCACATCAGCCAATTCTTGATTTCTTCGTTACCACCCCCCTCCTGCGCATAGTGCCGGCAAACAAGCCAATTGGTTAATTTGCCTTTTACTCTCCCATAACATACATACACTACGTGAACAAAAAGAAACAATGGGGCGATGTTGCAAAATGGGAGGAGCTTCCTCATGTACTGATATTGTGTTGGGAAGATGTGAGTCTCATTTACCGCGGCGCCGCAAATCCAACACAGTTCATCTTTCCGCCCCAGATGTCTCGGTACATGCCAAGAACACAGATTTGCCCGAGTCATCACGTAAAACAAGAAATGTTTCAACATTACATTAAAATCGGTCTTTTCTTCATTGTACAGTACGATAACTGGTATGCAGACCTCCCCCCAAACCCGCGCTTCCATAGTCCACACACACACAAACAACCCCACATCCATCCTAACTATACGTGTTGTTTCTACTTGTTTCCCAAAGGTATCTCCTCCATAAGATTTTATTGCCTTGAGCCACTCCCTGTTCTCCTAAAAAAAACCATAGAGATAGAGTGATAAATAACAGTGATGATAATAATGATCGAAACAAAGGAAAGAGAAAAGAGTGAAGGAAAAGAAGAGGTAAATGTTAGAGGGTAGGAGTAATGCGAGTATTAGAAGAAAAAAATCATATACGCGAGAAATGTACATTTGTTTTCCTTCCCCACTGGTACTTTTCAGTAGAAGGAAACGAAAAGGGGCAAAAAAGTGACCTCTCAGACGATCAAAAAAGAAGGGGCCTTCTTTCCTTTCTTTTTCCAAGGAAAAGGGTGCATCCAGCAATGAGGGCCAGCCACTCGGGGGAGAGCGAGGTAATGATGCTGTGTCCGGGGCTCCAGCGAAACCGCAAATAACATATGAAAGATAATTAATGTTGCTGGCGGGGTGACACTACTGTGAAAGTTTCTTAGAACTCGAAGCTCCGCTTTTCCGTCAACTTGGACTTGGGGGGCGCCCTGCGCTTGCGGTTCCGCTCCTCGTGCTCGATGATGGGTACGGCTGCTGGAATGAACTCGACTCCCCTGTTGCGGCTATTGGGCCGCGCATGGAGCTTGCGGTGGTTGTTGAGGTTGTCCTGGCGGTTGAACTGGTCCTTGCCACAGAACTCGCATGAGAACCGGTTGGGTCCCTCACCATGGAAACTAGTCAACTTTTTGTTAGCTGGTGCCACCTCCTATTGTAGCTGGAATTTAATATATTTTACTCACGTTTGCTTGTGACGCTTGAGATGCTCGTTGCGACGGAATGCCTTGTGGCACCCTGGGTAGTCACACTTGCACATGGCTCGTCGAACGACGTCCACGGCTGCTGTCTCTGACTTCTCCCTCTGTTTCCGGGAGGCTCTGATCTGGGCACGTTGTAGCTCGTTGGTACGTCTCTGAGCTTCGTGGTGTATCAGTCTTCGCTGGAAGCGCAGTCGGTTTGGTGATTCGGCAGTGTGGACGTGGTAATTGTTAATTGGTGATTGGGAATGACGCTCGAGGTCGAGAGCATCCATGTCTTGAAATGCGACATCCTTGTGAGGGAAAAGGCTGATGGGACTTTCATTGTTCATTGACCATGAAGAGGAAGTATCGGCGATCTCAGATCCGGACATGCTATGAGTGGGTGTCATCATGTAGGCTGTAGCCCCCATGCCGGCCTCTGGGGAGAGGCCATGGAGGCCAAAGGAGTTAGACGGAGTAATTGTTCCCATGGAAGCCTGAGAAGCCAAGCCAATGTCGAAAATCTGATCGTAGGAGGTGCTGAAGGAGTCAATCTTCTTCATAGGCGTGGTTGGCAGGGACTCGTGGAAAGACATTGGCTCGGGCTCCGTCTTCACGTGTGGTCCTCCAAACATGAACTTGGACATGGTGGCCGGGGGCGTCATTTCGACAGATTGAGGAGGCGCGTATGGATATGAACCCTCAAAGTCAAGGCTAACTTCATGTGGTGTTGACCGTCGCGAGGAAGGAGTAAATGGGTCGTACGCAGATGAAGAAGCAGAAGAGAAGCTGTTTGTGGTGAACGGGCATGGCAGTGGCTGCATGCTGAAGCCATCGTCCATGTCGAACCTGAAGTCGGATTCAAATTGCATCTTGAAGACTGTAGGTGGCCTTGAGTGACTGGTGCACTTCTTCGTCGCAACCTTCTGAGATGGGAGGAAAGTCGAACTCAGATCCTGATGCACGAAAGTCTTGTCCTTGGTGGAGGGCTCGGGCAACTGACTCTGGTTGGGAATGCCTCGAGTAGAAGAGGGCGGCCTTTGAAGATATATCGGAGTTATGTAGAGAAAAGGTACGCGGATGAATGGTGCCGACGTGTCTGAGACAACCAAGATGCAGATCAACCACCCCAGCAGATGATGGATGAACAGGCAGTGCGTGATGAACTGGCCGAGAGACAATGAGCGCCTGCCCCAGGTCAAGTTTGGAATGAGTAAATATGGGCTTTCATTAGTAGGAGGTGTCGATTGTCTGGGTCCTGGATGGGGAGAGGGAAGCAGGTCCAGAGGAGAGACACCCTTGGTGGGACTATTGCTGATATAGATTGTTGTTTTAGATAGCTGGCTCGTGTTTCGCTACTCCTCGAAATAAAGCAGCATCTGCTCATAAACAGCGCCGAGGGGGGGTGGACATTGATGATCTGTGTGGTAGTTATAGGGAAACATGATGAATCACACCAACCAGCAATGGCAATGGCTCACGCCATTTCCAAAAGGGACCACATGCACCTGAAATGGAGCTAGGGCAAGCCAAGGCGTTCAAAAAAGAACACAAAGAGTAGGGCGTTTTGGCACTCTTGTCCATCATCAGGCCTAGTGGATGAAGCCCGGGGTGATGGCGGGAAGCAGAAAGAGTACGAGCAGCAAACCCCCACTTGGGAACGAGGACTGAGCGGCAGGCATGGGTGGCGGCCAGACCAACACTGTTCAAGCCATAAAAAGAAGTCCAGGATCACGTCCCTGCATCAACGGTCTCCAAGATCGCCAGTACCTACCTAGGCAGAGCAGTAAATGTACACAAAAGCATCTGCATTAGTGCGATGGGTTGGTACCTTGCCTCCATCTAAGGTGAACGGGTAGGGTGGCACCCCTCCCCCTTGGTCCGTCCACCCAACGGT